GGGCTAGTTCATATCACAGGAGTTGGAAGGTCCATTGCATTGACATCAGATCCAGAAGTGTTCTCTTCCCCTTGAGGTTGCTGAATAGTTTTAAACTGAGCTGGGTAGGCAGAGACTAGGCCCCAGTACGTTGCAGTGATTGTGCCTCTCTAGAATTACCAGGGCTACAGCAGACCTTTTTCAACTATTCCACTAGCTTTTCAAGATTCTGCAATTATTCAGAGGTGAAGTTCCAAACCAGTGGGGGTGCCCATTGCTGCAGTCACCTGCCTGTACCACCCATACCCCCTGCCACTCATAACTCTCCTGCCTCGAGACAGATCTTTGGGTGATATTCTTAAATAATTGTTTAATCTTAAACATAACCTGGAATACATTCGTGATACATAACAGTAGAAGCACACTGGATATTCAAAATTCTCAAGAGCTATTGTAACTAGTATAGAGAAAGACATAAATGTGAAAGAAAAAGGGAGGCTGAGGAACTGCTGGACAATGTCCTTCGCTGTCTCAAAAAGCTCCTTAATAGTGAAAAAAACTAGCATAATGACCAGCAATTATCAAACCACCTTAACACTCCATGTTAACACATTCCAGTCAGATCTGCTGTTATCTCAACCCTTTGTGACCCACTTTGTGCACCAAAATGATTGTTGTGGTTTAATCCTTTCTCAGTCTGATAGGGGAGAGAATTAAAAAAAGAACAAAACTTGTAGGTTGAGATAAAACTATTTACTAAGATAGAGAAAAGGAAAAGGATAATAATTATGACATATATATAAGTGGAAGTATATAGCAAGTGATGCACAGGCAATTGATCAGTACCGACCAATGCCCAACTACCCCCCAGCAAGCAGAAGAGAGTGAGATGAACTTCCACCCACTTCAAAATTCTCCTTCTACATGATGTCAAATGGCACGGAATATCCTGTTGGCCAGTCTAAGTCAGCCATCCTAATTCTGTCCCCTCCCAGTCCTTTGTTAGTGTGACTTGAGACTCTGAAATGGCCTTGTCTCTATACAACACTGCTTAGCAGCAACTATAAATATCAGTGTGTTATCAACCTTGTTTTTCTCCTAGAACCAAAACATAGCATCATATCAGACACTTTAAAGAAAAAAATTCCATCTCAGCTGAAACTAAGACAGAAAGGTATTTCAGAAGCTGGGGAAAAGCACAGGTAATTGCCAGAAGGCTGAAGAGCACTTGGTCAGACTGCAGGTTAGTTTAAGAATATCCTTTTCACTGAAATTAATGTGCTGAAGTAAGTGACTCCTTGCTAAAGATGCTTATGGAATGGTTGTGTTCTTTAGAAAGTAGCAGGTTGAGGTTAAGGTGGGAGCTCAAAGTTTAGTTCAGGTTATGAATTACTGTTAATATTACTATTGACTTGTCATAACATAAATTTTGTACAACATTATTTATAGCCTCTTAGCGAACCAAATGAAATAAGATCATTCTCCTGAGCTAAGCAAACTAGCCACTGAAAGGCAACTCTTGAGACATAATGCTCTTTATGCTCCAGTTGAATACTGCATCTTAAGCCTGGTTTGGAGTGAGGGTTTTTTTCCTACTAGTGTCACTTGCAGAATCTCTTATCTGCCAACTTTTTGATAGGTTAAGTGAGTTTCACAATAAATGAAGGAAAAAAAAAAAAAAAAGTTGCATATTATCTTCATAAGGAAGCAATGGTAATACCTTCACTGTTCAGAATGGATTACCTGCTATCTGGGTCTGGTTCCTTTTATACCATGCAACAAAGCCACAACTGTCAGCCCTATTATAACTGGTAAAAAGTGGGTGAGAATCATGCTAAGATGCTTTGTCTCCATAAAAAATACTTCTTTTTAATTAGTATACCAGTATAATCTCTTCAGTGTGAGGTGTTTTCCCTTTCCTTCCCCTCAGTCCCAAAAGGCACATACATTCTGTGTTTTATTAGTATACCACCAGATGCTATTCTTATAATGAAAACCTTCCTAAGTTCTGATAGTTATGAAGATGAGAACTCTGACATGTGTGTTCCCAAGGTGGATGCAGTTAGACATTCCCCTACTGGTGGAAAATTAATTTCATTTCTGAAGACTGAAGACTCCTTTTACCTAGATATGTTTAATGTGTCAGATTGCTGATATCCTTCACAGTGAAACTACTTCACCTAATACTTGGGCTGTTCAATCTCTCCTTCAAAATCCTGTGCTGGAAGTTTGAAGATGATGTCTGTACTGCCCAGTGCTACCAGCTGAACATAGATCTCTGCATATATTCTGACCAGCACTCATTGACATGAAAACCAAGGCCAAGCGTATTGGAAGATATTCCTTTTCTGAAAAGGAGAGAGCAAGCTCTATTCTGGCTTCTCAGCATTGACCTACACACTCTTTACAGTGGTTTAAATGGGCTGGGTTGGGCAGGAGGAAGGAGAATGGCTGAGGGACTGTTCAAAGGAGTCCATTCACTAATGGCCTGAAGGTAATATAACACTGATGTACTCTGTGCCCATGGTATGGCAAGTGGGCACTCATAATAGTCCTGAACAGTGATAGGTAATGCCTGGATTTAACCGAGCTAGCCAAAGCATTTGTTTCCCTGGGAAGGATGGAAGACTGTAGAGAAGTCACTGCCATGGCCAGCATGCATTTTCATTTGTCACAGTCTTTCTCTCCCCATGGCCTTTGGTTTGCAAAAGGGCATTCCCAAGTCACTTAAAAATTGCAATTCTGAACTGTGAAAGTCCAGAGAAGTGCATAATTTCCTAGGGTTTTCTGGCTACGTTCAGAAAGAAGACCTGCTAAAGTGAACCGATATCAGAAACAGTGCACTCAGATAACTGAGGGAAGAGTAATGTGGCATGAAATGGTGAGTTCTCTATCCTGTGGGACAGCAGATTTGTTTATGGACTTAAATTGCAATGCAAGTGCTGCCTGTAATGAGTAGCTGATTGCATGTTAGACCAAGATTTAACCCTCAGTGTCCTTTATAGGCTGCATTTCTGTTTGATTCTGAAAGTTACTTTTCTCTTCCTCCACTGGTCTATTCCATGCTTTTTATCAATTCAAAAAACATGCATTTTCTTACTATATGCTCTGTGCCTATTACTTCTGTTAATATCCCCTTAACTTACAATATATTGATACTGGGATCTTTGCAGCATGGACATGGTTCTGTTGCCAAGACAAGACTATCATCTAACCTGAAGGACAACTTCTCTCAGACAGAAAGGAAGATGTGATTGTGTGTGAGCAACCAGCTGGCAATTCAGGGAATAAAGCCTGATTCTCTAACATTCCCATGGTGTTCTCCTTGACAAATGAGGCAGCTCCTTAGCTTCAAAAGGGCAACGTTGTTTATCTGCATCAAAAGGTAGGAGGAGGGAAGAGGGACTAGGGAAGGAAGACAGGAGGTGAAGTAACTTCTCTAGCATCTGAGCAATGCTCAGCCCAAGTTCTGAAATAGCCAGATTGCTGTCAAAGAGAAAAATGGCATAGGACTGATACCTTAATCGAAACAGATAGGAAGTAGTAAAGAACTGTGAAGTCTGTTTGGTACTATATATGAAGAGCTATGTAATTTAACTCTTTTCACTACAACAGAATTTATGAAATTTTGTGGAGAGACAAAAGGAATTATTTCAGTGACAACGATTTTCCAGTGCTGCAGGATATGTCTGACCTCTATAATTTTATGGCAACTGACATGGGGACTTTGAATGATTACTTTGTCCCACATAGGCATAACATAATTTACTCTGCCTGAAGACAGTGATATGAGGACACAACGTACAAAATAAAATAAAATGAAAAAAATTATCTGAGAACGTCTTCCAGATGTTGATGTGGGTGGGGGAACTGCATTAAACCACTTCTCCACTGGATATTCAAGATCCAGTATGAAAAACATATATGTCAGTCTGGAAATAGAGACACCTGTCAGATATGATCTTTTTAAATACTACAGGAAAATAAAGTAATAGCTATGAAAGAAAATTTAAGCCTTTTTCTTTCACAGCGTGGCATATTTTGGGGTTTGTTTTTTTTTCTTTGTCTGGAATTTTTGCAAAAATAATTCAAATGGGGAATATCTACAGAAGGCTCTTACTTCCATCTAAACTCCCCCAAAGGGATGACTTAGAAAGTGTATCAATACACGTGCAATCACCAAATAGTGGTTTCACTTTTAATCAGCGGCGGAAATTCTCTCTAATCTCTTTGTAAAAAATTAGCAATGGCAAATTATCTGAGGTGGCTGTTTTCATCACTCTCTGTTCTCCATTTATTCTGAAATGTATGCAAGAAGGTGCAATTAGCGTAAATTGTAAATTATCTCTGGTTTCTGTCATACAAACTGTATGTGATCAAACGGAACAGCAGTTGTGCTTAAGCCATTCTGATCTATGCAGGTATCTACTACCTCATATCTAAATATATCCCTGTATGTATTAGTGTTGCCCATGAGGCACTTCATTCTGTCAGGTTTATTTGGAGACAGAGTGTTTTCTGGTTTGGGAGGGTAAAAAAAAAAATCTAGAGTTGCCTTCTTTACAAAAGCAAGTCCTAGTGCCTTCCTATAAGCACTGAGGAACATAACTTTTGTGATCACACTTTACAGGGAGTAGATGCACATTATTCTCTTGCCATGTCCTACTTTTTGGTTTTTAATACACTCTTTTTATTTTTTTAATCACTCCTCAGAACCTGTGGCTTGAGTTTTCCATACACCTGTATTGGATGACAGAAGAGTAAAGTATGTTTGCAGTCCTGCCAAAGACCTCGAACTAGTCTTTCCATATCGCTGCACAAACTATACATGCAAAATAGAGTTTAGCATGCCAAATTACCTCCACATCTTCCCACGAGAACTAGCATTTAGAAAATGCTGACTTGGAAATGAACTTGAGCCAAAGACAATTAATCTCCACTTTCCCAAATATATAACCAAACTGTAATACAGTGTCTTCTCTATAGATACTTTTCCTCCGTGTGTAGAAGAGAGTACTTACATCCAATATCCGGCCGTAGTTTTTTGTCATACTCTCTCAACAGCTTGTTTAGTATCAAGGTCACATCTGTGTCTTGTGTTTTTGGAGCTAAAACCCATTTTTGGTTGGTTGTTCCATCTTCATATTCATCCTCTTCAACCTTTCTGGAACTGCAATAATAAATCAAATAAACGGATGTTATTTTACATAACTAAAAATCTAAATTTACATTCTGAGGAAATCTAAACAGTCTTCTTAAGAAGTTTTGATCTCTCCCTCGACTGTGTCTATATACTCACCTTAAGCTGTTTTTGCAGCAGGACATTCCCATTAACATCTGCTAGCTATCTGAGGATGGGTCAGAACTGAGAATTATTTAGCTGTGGTCTTCTGCCAGACTCCAAAGAAGTTGTTACCCGTGAGTTACTGCAGCTATCAGAATAGTTTTTTACTCTCTAGCATTTTGTACCTTAGCATTTTACACCAACCTATCCTGACTGCGTATTTACCCAGTACATTTACAATGTATTCTTTCAAAGAGCAAACAGCCACAGTATTACTTCATGAATCCATCAAGAAAACGGATCCATCTCTTGCACATAGGCTAATAAGAGTATTAAAAATTCAGATCTTTTAATACTTCCTGATCATTTTATCCTATTAATAAATTATTATATTCTCAGTGCCCGAAACTCAGTTTAATGTATTACAAGGCTTAGAATTAAGAGCTTTCTCCTTGTACATAAGATGGATTATCACAAGTGCACAAATACATTTCATAAATTAATTGGAATTCCAGAGTCTCCCTGTGATTTTAATGATATTTTTTAAAAAAAGAACAGCACTACACCAAACACTGAGACTCTCCTTTCCTTCACAGGTGGATTATTTTTATTTTCAGAGTACGGCAGTGCAAACATGGTAAAAGTACAGTTGCCCAGAAATCACAGCTAGAGCTATTTTCACATGAGATTAATTTCATTGAGCAGCTCTTTGTGCATGAACAGTAAAATGTTGATTTGGAGATGTATCTTTTGGTATCTTAGAAACCAAATCTGTTTGATCTCTCTCTTGCTGGAGGAAATCCATGACAGTTAAACTGAGATGAAGTTATCAGGAGAAAAGATAACCTTGGTGGTGGAACCCACAGCAGTAATCATCCACTGCTTGGACCTGCAATTGCCCTGGCAACGTGATATCATTTTGCAGCATTTTCACACCAATGTCAGTAATTATGCAAGGTGCAAAGCAGCACAGAATCAGAGGTATCAGCACTGTTTATTAATGGGATGTGCTATGTCCATCAAAGCAACCTCTTTTCTCTCTCTCTCTCTCCCTCAGTCTCTCCCCTTAATAACACCACTGTCTTTTACAATACTTCAGGTCGAGAAGATTTGATAGACATCCTATAATAATGGAAGAAAGACCAACAAATGCACCACAGAGCATCATCAACCTGCAACATTGCCACTATAGACCACTATATTTGAGCCTTTAACGAAACTTTTAATTGAAACTGCTCTACAGCCAACGTGCCTTGCAGGATTAGCCATGAATCACCTAATGTGACTTCATAAACTGCGGGTGGTCTAAGTATAATTTCTATATAAAAATAATTTTTGAAATCTAGCCCCTAGGGACTTCCTATAGAGAGAGCTCGTGTAATCAAGTTCCAGAAGTACAGAAAACTTGAGGACATTTTTAAGTAGATGAGCACTCATTTATTTGCTCACCCAATGGACAGACCCTAAAGGACACTTTATTTATTTATTTTTTTCCTTTCTCCCCCAGGTTCAAGACAAACCATATGTTTTAATAGTGCAATTACAGAACCGTTCTCAGAGGAGGCATCATCTCCTAGCACACATGGTTGATATTCTTCAGCTGAAACACCGCAGCGGTGCTGAATTACTGATAGGAAAGGAGCTCAGGATCATCTGTTTTTGCCTGCTGCACCCATCACAACTTTGCTGGAAGCATTCAGGCTGCATGTGAAAATGAGAACCGAGTTCACATTGGATCACGATTCCCATTTCTGGGAGCAGCTCCATTAAAACCTGTCACCAGTACAGCCGACATCTAACAGGGCTTTTAAACCCCCTCGTGCTGGGGCTTCCTAGAGAGCACCTCCAAATGATGCAAATTCCTACCTGCCTCCTCTATAGATTAAGGCTGCAGGTGGGAGAGGTTTCACAGTGAGTCAGACTAAGACCTCAGACAGGCTTTTTTCACGGTGTTTGGTGCTCCTGCTTAAAAGTTCCACTTCCCTTGCTTTTGCCTCCATCCCACGAGGCTCCTTGGACGGCATCTGAGGCTGACAAGTCCCCTGTAGCCATACGGGCACCTCCAAACTCCCTGCACATTCCCACTGCCCACAGCAAGAAGCGCGGGATGATGGGGAACCAATTCCCAGCTGGGAAGGGAGAAGAGCTGCACTCTCCTCTTCAGGGACCACTAATTCTGGTGCTGCGAGGAGACACCAGCAGCGAAGTGCAAGCCGCAGAGATGCACAGCTGGAAAACCCCGAGAGCGGCGGGTAATGGCCAGCCAGCAACGGGGCTCGCCCGCCTCATCCCGGCCCCGGGGCTGAGGAGCGGGGAGCAGCGGCTCGAGGAGGGAAAACTTTGTGCCGGGCCGGATCGGGACGGAGCGCTGGCGGGCGGCCCGCGGTGCAGGGGGGAGCGGAGCGAGGAGAGCCCGGAGAACTCCGGAGAGCCGCGGGCGCGGAGAGGGAAGGAGCCGGAGGGGTGCGGGAGGAGAAGGGAGCGCGGACTTACCGGGCGTGGAACACTGAGAGGAGGAAGAAAACCAGCAGGAGCTTAGCGGACATGATCTGGGCAGAGGCGGCCAGGTGAGAGGAGCAGGAGGAAGGAGATGTTGCAGGAGGTTCGCATGCGAACGGGGATGAGGCAACGAGGTGAAGCTCTGAGGCTCTCCTCCCGTCTATTCTCAGCTTTATACCCCGAAGAAAATACCCCCGTTCGCAATGCTCCGGGAGGGGAGGGGAGGGAGGGAGGAGAGGGGGAAGGTAAAAAAAAAGACAAAAAAAAAAGGCAAAGAAGCGGGCTGAGGGGAAACCCCGGCGGGGACCCTCCGGGCCAGGTGCAGCTCCGCGCTCCGCTAAGAGCCGCTTCCCGCAGCCGGCGGCGGGGCGGCCTCTCGCGCTGCCCGGCTGCCGCTGGCCGTACCCCCCGGGCTGCCGAGCCCGGGCCCCGCCGGGCCGCGGGGCTGGGGCGGGGAAGGGGCGCAGCCACCCCGTCACCGAGCGGCGGCCGCAGCCCGCCCCGCCCTGCCCAACAGGTACCTGCCTCCTCGGCAGCGGGGCCGCCTCCCGCCCCGGCCCCGGCAACGCGCGGTGCCCCCGCTCTCACTCGGTCCCCGGGGTGCCGGGGAAGCCGTGGGGAGATGAGCCGGCCCCGCGGGCATCCCGCTGCGCCGGGCGGGGCGGGGACGTGCGGGCGGTGCGGCTCCCGCACAGCCTTCCCCAGGCAGAGCCGCAGCGCAGCGCGTTGGTGTAAGGCTCCGTGTGGACGTGTGTATGGAGAAGTTTGCGCGCACCGTGAGATGCAGAGATACAGATGCACGCAGACGTGTATTTGTAAGATAGAACGTACACTCGGACTTGCGGGAGAGCGGACTGCGCGGATTTGTATTGAGATCGTTGGGATAAATGAGGATTTTCTGCTGTGATTGCAGCGAAGTGTGTTCAGGGCAAAAAATAGTTTGGTTCTGGACATGTTGTGTCTTTCTGCTCTGCTCCGAACAACGAGGATGCGATTTTTGGCGACTTGAGCTCTCTGGGTGTGGGGTAATATGAGATATTCCCCTTCGCTGTCAAACTGGGAGATGACAAAGTGCCACCGGGGTTCACAGAATCATAGAATAGCCTGGGTTGAAAAGGACCGCAATGATCATCTAGTTTCAACCCCCCTGCTATGTGCAGGATCACCAACCACCAGACCAGGCTGCCCAGAGCCACATCCAGCCTGGTTACAGCGATCTGGGAACAAACAGCCCCGCTACGGCGCTGCGAGCAGGCGGCTCACTGGGACTCGAAATCTCAGGGGCATCAGCTTTTGCTTCCTCCCCCGTCAGGCATTATTTACAAGTTCCGGGGGATTTGCTTTTAATTATGATATTACATTAAACAAAAAGTTCTGCTGGATGGAGGCGATTTGCTTTTAGCACAGCTTCCGCACGATGCCTAGAAATGCTCGCTGGGGAGCGATCTCTGTTCCCGCAGTTATTTATTGAAGGAACGAGATAGCTTAGGGAAAATCCGCTGCGAGCCAGGCAATTCCCAGACCTACACCCTAGGGCGTTTTTTCAGCTAAAACTTCTTTTTATCAGATGATACAGCAGCTATTCCCTCTGCCCGGGGTTAACCGCGGGTACCCGCAGCCCCATTACACACACCCCGGGCTTGCCGATGTGAGCGGCCCGCAGGAGCAGCGGTGTTGCGGGAGGAAGAGGTGAAGAAGAAGCACCGCACCCCGGCTCCAACAGAACCTCCCGGGCCGGGCCCCCGCAGCGCTCGGCCGGGGGCGGCTTCCCCGGAGCGGCTCCGCCTCTGCCCCCGCCCCCGCCGCGTCCCCCGGCGGCAGCGGGGTCCTCTGGTGGCGGCGCTGGGAAGAGCGGTGGAGGGAAGCGGCTGCCTGCTGGGTTTCCCCGGCCTCCACCCGCTGTCCTCCCGCCTGAGCGGCGGCGATGCTTAAGACTTTCTTTCTCTTGTCCTCGGTGCACCGTGTTGGTGACCAAGGTTTCCTTTCTACTCGCATCCTTTTATCTTTAAACCTTGCTCTTGCCTTTTCGACTTACGTATTCAAGGATTATAATTACCCAGCACGCGTTTTAATAAAAGAACACTTTATTACACACTGTAATGAGACTAAAATGTTTATATTCTCCGGCACAATGAAGTGGATCCGTATTTTAATTTACTTTTCATTGTGTGAGTGTATTTTCACCCCGAGGGATGCTGAAGGCTAAACCCTTTGTGGTATTTCTTGTCGCAACAGCAACTGTGCAGGGAGCTGGTTCCCATAATCAAGGGGGAAATGCGAATGGAGGGAACGGGGCTCACAGGTTGAGCACTCCCTGGCCAGAGCTGGGCTGCAGCAGCCTGTGCTGAGCGAGGAGCTAAGCGAGGGTCCTGTGAGACCAAAGCTGCTGCGAGCAGCTGGAGTTTCGCTTCGTTACAGAATGGGAGAAGAACACCTTGAGAGCAGCCCTGTGCAGAAGGACTTGGGGATCCCGGTGGACGAGAAGCTAGATTTGAGCAAGCAGTGTGTGCTCGCAGCCCAGAAGGCCAACTGTGTTCTGGGCTGCATTAAAGAAGGGGTGGCCAGCAGGGAGAGGGAGGTGATTGTCCCCCTCTGCTCAGCTCCTGTGAGGCCTCATCTGCAGTACTGCGTCCAGGCCTGGGGGCCCCACTCAGGAAGGATGTGCAGTTCTTGGAGCAGATCCAGAGGAGGGCCACTAAGATGATCAGATGGCTGGAGCACCTCTCCTATGAGGAAAGGTTGAGGAAACTGGGCTTGTTTAGCTTGGAAGGACTCCAGGGAGACCCCATTGTGGCCTTCCAGTACTTGAAGGGAGTGTATAAACAGGAGGGGGAACGGCTGTTTACGAGGGCGGATAGTGATAGGACAAGGGGGAATGGTTTTAAACTGAGACAGGGGAGGTTTAGATTAGATATTCAGAGGAGGTTTTTCACACAGAGGGTGGTGACCCGTGGAGGCACTGGAACAGGCTGCCCAAGGATGTTGTGGATGCCCCATCCCTGGAGGCATTCAAGGCCAGGCTGGATGTGGCTCTGGGCAGCCTGGTCTGCTGGTTGGTGACCCTGCACATAGCAGGGGGGTTGAAACTGCATGATCATTGTGGTCCTTTTCAACCCAGGCTATGCTATGATTCTATGATTCTAAGTTGTTTGGGCTTTGTAACATCTAACCTCTTTTCTTTCTGTTTTACTTAGAATTGAAGGAATGTCCATATAGAGAAGAATGTTCAAATAGCAGAAGATGCAAAAGTAGTAAGGTGAGGATGCAGTCTGAGACACCATTACACCGCAGTGGCCATATTTCAGTGTTTGTAGTGAAACAAAACCACAGAGAAAGCCAGAAAGAATTCAAGCAATTTGATCAAGCGCTGCTTTCAAACAATATAAGTTCCTCTGAACGTTGCAATGCCAGTTCCAATCTGAGGAGCAAGGGTGTTAGGGGAAACATATCCTTATTGCGAAAGCCATTATCTCCAGATTTAAAAAAACAAATAGCTGTTCAAATGCTGCCTTCATCTTGCCTGAGTAACAAAGGACTTTCATTCAGTTTCCTTGAAGGTTTAATTTATATGTTAAGCAAGAATTTTTGAGAGGCAGGATTATTTCATAAAATCGTTTCTTTCTTAGCTTTGTACAAATTCATTTAGTTATTCCATAGAGGGCATATTCCGTTTACAAAAACCAGAAAGCAATTCAAGGTAACCGAGGAGGGTTACGATTTGAAAACACATTGTTGCCTGAATTCATCCTCAGAGTCATCTGGCACAGCTCAAATATTTGAAATAGAAACCTTTTCCATTGTATTTGACTTATTCTTTCACTCTTCATAGGTAGAAGTGAGAAAATTTGGCAGTAGGATTGCATGCACTTACACTCCAGCGCTGGATTGTTGTGACAAATCACTCTTCAACCCTTTCTCATGAACTCATTACAGGAAAAACCCATCGATAAAGCAATCCCTGCTCATTAATCCCTTTGGCTGTAACTGAGCTGGGAGGGAGCCATGCCCGAAGCACTGGGTTCCGTGCAGGAGCAGCCCAGCAGGCCAATGCAATTCCTGACGCTGCTGAGTCCACCCTGGTGTTCCATTGCAGTTGTGGGGTGTTAGGCAACATGAGGCCGTGGGTTTTCAGCCTGGAATTGATGGGCTCAGTGGAATACCTCCCAAGCTATGGGGTATTTCCTACTGCTCAGGCAGCAGCACTCGCTGGGAGACCATTGCTGCTGTCACTTCAGTTCTCAGCAAGGACCAGAATGCATGTGATTATCTGGGAAATGAAAGGCAGACAGCTTCTACAGGAATTTTCAACATGGTTTGGCATATCCACAGTAACAGAACAAGCCCTGACCGCTATTCTCTGCTTTTACCTTCAAATACAGAAAGCAATAGTCAACATAAATGGAAGTGATATCTATCCCTGGAAGTGATAAAATGTTATGTGGTGTCATAACTTTGGCGGGCAACTGTCAGTCCTGTTATACATCAGGAAAATGTCAATACATTGCTTACTAAAGCATAGGGCCTGATCCTGCAACCATGCAGCTCCGCAGGTCGTTCTGTAGCCAGTGGAGGCAAGGAGACTCCATGTGGACATGAAACTGGCTGGATTCAGAGCTCCAGCAAAGGAAACCAGAAAGTGATGCTGAAACATGTGGGGTCAGAGTCAGAGTTGGGCGTGAACAAAAACAAGAAGCATCAAGAAACCTCCAAGGCAGACAAAATGGCTCTGGAAAAAGTGTCCTCCGCAGATTCACAGGTTGCTTATAGGTTTCAACCACATAGTAAGTACAGCCCCTGTATTGTCCCAGAAGCACTTGGGTGCCACTGCCACAAGTACTGTGTGGCCTAAAGGGCTGCTTGGGTGTCCCTGCACAGCAGCCTGCTCTTCCAGAAGGGCACATGCAGAGTAGCTGCCAGGGCTGGGACAAGGGTCTGGCCAGGACAGTTTACTTTCTATGAAAGCAGCCAAGAGGAGGTTGTTCATGATAACTAAGAGGCACAGGGCATCTATATATGACATTCCTCCCAAGAATAGAAACTCAGTAACTCAACCCTTAAGAAGAGACCTTGTGTGTCTGTGACATGCAAAAGGAATGCTGCAGGGCACCAAGTTCTCCTCTCCGTTCCAAACAGAACACAAGGCTGATGCTCCATAGCAAAACAGCACCTAGTTCTGAAACATCCTGGTTCACTGTCCTCACTCAGCACGTACCTTTCCAAGTAACAGTGAGGATGTACTGTACACACACATTGCTTCACTACACATATATGTGCTTTCCTTCTTCTAGCTTCCTCTTCAGCTTCAGTGGTGATTCTTTTGGTCTCTAAAATGATAATCGGTAAAAGAATGACACTTTGCAATCAAGTGTTGAACGCCTTTTTTATTTAAACATTAAGATTAAATTACAAAAGCTTTTGGAACAAAGAAATATGCCAAGGAGGAAAGAGCTGAAAATTCAAGTTGCATTTTCTCATTCATTGTGAAAGCAAAACACATTGGCAGCAGCAAGGCATTTTATAGAAAATTTTCAGATGGACAGTACAAACACCTTCCTGTCAGAATTGCCACTGAAATACCTTGCTGTCGTGAAACAACATCCTTTCTTTCATTTTTTTTTCTTTTTTTTTCCCTGATCACACTCCTTAGTATCGTCTGATTGGTTTTCACTGTGGGAACCAATTAATTATTTCAGAATTACTGTAATTCTTTACTGTTTGTCTCTGCCAATATAACACAATCTTCTTGGGAAAACCTCCAAACATGAGTTACTTTACCTTAATAAAACCGTCTACTGCCATTGTCAAAAGTTTTATTTGCACAAATATGTTCCTAATCTATGTTAATTTCATGCAATATATCTCTATTTTTTGGAATAAATACTGAAAACCATTTGAGAAGATTCCCTTGGAATGCAAAAACCAAACATTATTTTATTTTAAGGGCAAGATTCCACCATCTTTATTTACAAGAGTAGCATCTTGCTCCCTCACTGCAAGCTAGAGGCTCAAAAGCAGTGAAAATCAGCATAGCCCCATTAGGATTTAATGCATCATATCAATTTCTATTAATGAAAACAGGGCTGAGCGGGTTTTTTTCTTTTTTTTTTCCTGTGGTAATGCACTACCTATCACCAGTAAAGGTGCTCAAACATAGCCCTACATTTAATAATTTGGCACATTTACAACTGGCATTATTCATAGTAACCTATCAGATGACAACAGTGGAGCTCTTCTGTAAAATAGAGGTTAAGCCTACAATTGTATGACTGTACATCTGAAGTATAAAAACCACGATATGTAGTACACTTGAACAGTTAAAAAATATAACTTATTTTATTTGTAAACTATCAATGCAAGATACTTAGCAGCAAAGAAGCCATGTTCAATGTCTTCTGATCTTTTATAAAGATCTGTTGCTGTAAGTAATATAATCGTCTCCAAAACATCTGAGGTTACATGTAGAAACAATCAAGGCAATATTATTTGTACATATTATTAAACATGCAAAAAACTTCCTGAAGAATATTGCCCAAATGTAGAAAGTGGTCTGGATCTCAAATTTTCCTTGGTAGCATCTGCTTTGAAGTATGGCTCACGTGTGGCTTTAGAGTCCTTCAGTTTATTTTGGAGAGTTGGCACCTTTAATAACAGGCTCCCTATTCAAATATGTGGCCCAGTAGACTAAGTTAAAAGTTCCAAACAGCACTGGAAAAATTATCCGGGACATTTTGTCAATCTTACTGATGCTGTTGTAAGTCTTTTTGCTTTCGGCAGGCTTTTCTTCCACAGACTTCACTGGAGCAGGAGCAGCGTTTGAGATGACGGAGGGGGCCGAGTCCTTTGGCATGTTTGGAGCAGGGGTCATCTTCCCAGTGCTGTACGTATTTGTTGATTTATTTCCCAGCAACTGGCGCTCTTTTTTCTTCTGTGAAAAGACCAAAATGTTAGACTGCAGGAACAGAAAGTGGAAACATTCTCAAGATGCAAACTTCCAAACCTAAGCACTGTAATCCATCATGCTAAAACAAATGTCTGTGGGCTACTCTGCCTTTGAGTCCCAAACAGCTGATTCTGTCTCAATGTCATAGCCCTTACTCAAGCTGAACTTTCCTGACATTGGAGGTAATGAAGGGAGGCCAGCTGGACCTGGACCCATGGGGCATGCACATTAGCAGCTGCTTTTGTCGGGGCCCTGCAGCTGAGGAGGTTGTGTCCTAGTGCCAGCTAAAATGCCTTTGTCAGAGAGAAGGTGACAACCATGCTATAGGTTATGCGAATGACACTGTGCAACTGCTTTTTCTTTTAGGTACTTAAGACATGTAAGATAAGGACCTTGATTTTAGCAGCTTCCAGGGCCTTTTTGCCATCCCATGCCCAACTTCTCTTGGTGAAATAGTTGACCGTTGCAAACTCAATCAATGCAGAAAATACGAAGGCATAGCAGACAGCTATAAACCAGTCCATGGCAGTAGCATAGGCCACTTTTGGCAAAGAGTTGCGGGCACTGATACTTAAGGTGGTCATGGTGAGGACTGTTGTCACCCCTGTAAAGGAAGAAAAAAAAGGAGTCAGAGATCAGCTTGGTAGAATCAGAGAATCATAGAATGTCCTGGGTTGAAAAGGACCACAACGATCATCTGGTTTCAACCCCCCTGCTATGTGCAGGGTCGCCAACCACCAGACCAGGCTGCCCAGAGCCACATCCAGCCTGGCCTTGAATGCCTCCAGGGATGGGGCATCCACAGCCTCCTTGGCAACCTGTTCCAGTGCATCACCACCCTCTGTGTGAAAAACTTCCTCCTAATATCTAACCTAAACCTCCCCTGTATCAGTTTAAAACCATTCCCCCTTGTCCTATCACTATCCGCCCTCGTAAACAGTCTTTCCCCCTCCTGTTTATTAGCTTACAGGCCTTAAAAGATTCCTAATAAGTTATGAGAGGGGCTCAATTCAGCAGGAGAATTAGGAAGGCCACATGAAGGAAATCAATGCTTGCATATTTTGGTCAGAAAGAATGATATACTTTGCAGGTGAAATGAAAATAAGTGTTGGTCCTCAGCTGTTTACTCGTGTGATGTTCTGGTTAGCTCTAGTTACAGTGTACTTAAAAATATAATTTTAAGGATAATAGAAATCCAAATGTTACACAACCCAAAATCTCACTGGTATTTTGTCAACACATAGTATATATGCTTAGCATTGCTTGTTAACTGGTACGTTATAAAATCAGCGATCGACCCATTCAGCAGTAACTGCCACAACAGAAGTGGGATTATGGCTTTTGTTTTCCCACGTGGAGATTGTATGGATGTAATTGTCAGTTGTTATTTATTCCCTTGACTGCGGCTCCCTCTTCCACAGAAGTCAGCAGATGACAGAGCTGCCACTGCTTCCACATGGGGAGGGGTGTCTCAGCAGGATGAGAATGAGCTCTCGGTTACACCTTTTTGAAGGTAAGTAAAATCAGCACTGCTAGCCAGCAATGAGCTGCTGGCACCAGTATTCTCCCCATACAGGTTGCTGAACCGATTTCTGATCAAAGGTGCTGGCTGATTCCAGTAGGCTCCTACAGATGAACGGCTCTTTTAGGAACACTTGATCAAAGATCTACATACATTGCAGCTCCCACTCCCCTCATTTCTCATCCAGTGGGAATCCTGTATGTCACAAACCTTCAGCTAGGATTCTGTTCATTTTTTGCAACCTTCTAGTGGTAAGGAAGAGACCTCAAAGGATTCTTCCATGACAGTGTCTGTAGTAAATATACATTTTCTAAATGCAAAATCATATTAATTTGACAGTAATAGCGATAATTGTCACTAATTAACCTCTACATGTTTTTCCCGGATAAACATCTTGAAACACAGATAAACAAAATGTTTTGAAGTGAAATCTGTTCAGACTAGAGTATGCACTATCATAATATGTATGGCTTTTTGTTCTAAACCATCACATATTTTATCTGAGTAGGAAAGAAGAACCCACAAATCACAACAATGTTTCTTCCGTCTTCCATCCTTAACCTTCACAGAACTGATTACAGCGCGATTTCTGTCACAATTTTACCAAAAAGCCCACACTTTTTTTAAAATTGATTTTGACTTTGAACACCTACAACACTGCACGCAAAAATAAGCACTGTGGGTTTGTTACAGAAGATCACTTCCACAAACAAGCCCCTTTCTTACCCATGCTACAAGAAGGTGAGGTACTCACCAAAGACAGTCCGAGCAGGGACAGATTCTCTGTTTAGCCAAAACGACACTTGTGATAAGATCACAGTCATAATGCAGGGAAGGTATGTCTGGATGACAAAATAACCAATTTTTCTTTTCAGATGAAAATGTGCTGTCATTATGGTGTATTCGCCTAGGGGAAGAAAAATGCATGTATGCTAAAATAAAGCAGGCTTACTGATTTGAGGTTTTCAGCAGCTCCCCCTCTCTCCCAGTGTGAGGCTACCATTCAGCCAGTCTTAACTGCATGAAAAATGCCTGGATTTCAGTCCTGTGCCATAACAAGAGACAGAGATGCTGCTACATACCGCTGCTCTTCACATTCAGTTCCCAAAAGCAGAAGACAGCAACTAATGACTATTGCACCAAAAACCTGCCATATTTTCAGGTACCTGGCATGCCTTGGTGTTGATAGGCATGCCAAATCTGGATTGCTGACAGTGCCTCATTCTTGCCTTGCTTTGACTTGGTCCCACAAACTGTCCTGTCAGAACGATTAAGGCCTCCTACTCTTAGAAACCTGATTTAGCAGCAGGACTTAACCTCATTAAGGAACTGTTAATGCCAATCCATCGCTTCAGTTCTGACACTCCCTGTGCCCCATACTTTACTGCCTGTGTGACTGTCCTAATGTCAGTGCTGCAAGAATCTGTGCTTCGCTCACTGATACTGATACTGTCGCTTGGAATTTTCAAAGCCATCAAACTACTCCTCCAGAAAAAAAAACAAAAACAAAAACAACCCTCGTGTGCATGAAGTTTTCCTGGAATTTGGTATGCCTTAGCTCTTGGAAAGATAATCTCTTTCTGGACAGATGTTGTGCCATGTCTTGTTCTCTTGTGAAATTAATATTATACTGACTGCAGGGGGGAATTCACTAAAAGCTGCTAAGGCAGCGCTAAATTCCATGTCTTTTTTATATGCCAAATTCACAGCATTGCCTTAATCGGGCTTTTGTCAGGCCCTTTGAATTTCAATACAATCCTCAAAAAATGCACTCTGAAACAGATAGACCAGCTGTCACCTTCCCTTATGGTTCAGGAAAAAAAAAACAACAACTCAAGCAGTTCTTTCAGACTGTTCCTGTGAAACCATATATTTGTTACTGAAGGCTTTTCATTGCTGGTAACAGCTCCCCAAAGCCAAAATCTTGCTATCTGAGAGCAGGATACTATTTCTTTTTTTTTTTTTTTCCTGGGAAAAATGAGAGTTAAAATCAAATATAAGAATAAAAGCCAATCAAAAAAGCCAATCAAACTCCTCCAGGCCCTAGCAGATCTCCACTCATACTGACACCAAATTAATCTAAAATCATACATTTTTCAGCTGGATACTGACAAATCAGAGGAATGTCCACACCGAAATGTATGTTGTATTCTGAGAGTAAAACAAAAAAAAGAAAAAAAAAAACCTTTTGACTTACCAATTTTTCAGATCCTGGAAATTCTGGGGTGTGTATCTCATATTTTCTAAAGAACGAGCTGAATGCAGACCTTAACTACTTGAGCTAAATGATTGGCTATAACCTCTTGTTGCAAGAATGGGCTGTTATCCTCCATAGATCAGCCCCTATAGGAAAATAAATAACAGACTGATTCTGCAGAGTGAATTGCAGTGAGTTGTTGCAGCCAGCACTGCTAAGTGGTTAGATTTGGCAGATTACTGCTAAGTGACAATATGGCTAATTAATGGACAATAGGTCTACAGTGAGAGGTTTTCTGCAGGTAGAGCTGCCTGAGGTGCTCAGATCTGTTCTGTATGAAGTTTACAGACTCATTCATGCTGAGGATTTTAGGCTGAAAGACTGGAATAGCACAGGACTGCCTTACCTGACAGCCTGCCTCTGTCTTTATGGCTTTCTTCTGAAGTCTGATTTTCTGGCGAAATGTTTTCCTGATGAGGGATGTGGAGATGGACAGGGGATGCTGTGAAACTGAGGAGAAAATCCTCGTGAAGTGATGTCTAATTCCCTTTCATTTAGTGTAATTTTGAACCGGGGATGCTGAACATACCTCAGTCTCAGGAGAAACCCCACTTGCTCTTTATTTAAGAGCATTCAGTTTGTGGATTACCAAAAAAATATACCAGGAGCAGCGGGATCTACGTGTTGGTAATCTGCTTTTGAGCTGCTGCTGCGCCGTGATGTGTGTGAGTCCCATTCTCCCTGCTCGCTAAGGAGTGACGATGTGCGTTATTGATTTTGACAGCATGCTTTCCAAGCTGGAATAAAGTAAATCTACACAGCTTCAGCAGAGCAATGGGATTCATATTTTCCTTTTTAAAAATGCAGAAAAGAAGTGCTTGCATTTTGACCATCTTCTGTGGCTGATTCTCACCTTATCATTTTCTCTAACCTACCAGAGCTCTTGTCTCCACTGAAATAATGATATCACCTGATTTTGTGTTTCCTCTTCTCCCAACTGCCATCTTCTCCTATTTTCCATGCTGTCTCTTTCTAAAATGCCTGCATGAAGGATGTCTCCTCCAGCAGACCTGGGGCTGGCAAAAACCCCACAGCTTATTTTTTTATGTCCTGGGACCACTGCTTAAAGCAATGCTAGAAGCTGCCTGAGTTGGCCTTTTGTTTATAGAGAATAAAATCCTGGCTCTGTTGGAGTGGCAAAGCTCCCTCTTACTTCTGTAAGGCCGCAGTTTATTCTTAGACCATAAGCTTTCTTGAGCAAGAGCTAATTTTTTATTATAGGTTTGTGCAGCATGTTTAGATGAAAATACTGCTCCTGATAGAGTCCATTCACCACTGCCAAAAGAACTCTAATGACAAATCTAGCACCGATGAAAAGTCAAGAATGGAGCATTTCTTCCCAGAGCTCTGCTACTGTGCTGCCCTTAAAAGCTGCTGCAATGGTTTTTCAGTATCCAGGCGATGGAGTTTTGGAGATGGTGCTTACATACGTTCAGGATCTTTCCTGCATTCTCCCAACATCACTGTGCTGCAATTCAATGGGGTTTTTTTAATGAGAATAGGCCAGCCCTTAGGCTTGTTTGTTTACCTTATCTGCCTGGGCTCAGGTGTACCAACAACTGTTCTGGCATGACCCCAACATCAGGTCTGTGACATAGCAGTCCCTGTCCACACTGACATCCAGAACATTTTGGTCCACAAGAGATGCCTGTGCTGTTTTGATAGTGCTGCACATGAAACCTTCATCTCAAGGAAAAATCAAACTGTTCAGCGCAGAATGAAGGGCTGAATGCTTCTTTTATTGTTTAGGCTTTGGATATTTCATAGCCTGGGCTCCAGCTGGCAGAAAAGAAAGGAGTGGGTTTTTGTTTTGTTTTATGGCACTGCAGAATCTAAGTGAGTGATGAGAAATTCTGGATCTGGGGAACAGAACTGGGCAATCATTTGCAGACACCAGCAGGATCCACATGGACCCAGAGCCCGTATCTGAGTGTTTTCAGCACTGCAACAGCAGGACACAGCAGATGTTGGGACTGCTGGAAGCAGTGTGAGCCGACAAATATCCTCTTCAGGGGGAATAATATTTGGGGATGATAGCTCAACAAACCACCACACAGGTGGAACATGTCAGAGCCATTTTCTGTTGCATGGCTAACGTGGTCGTGATTTCCAAACTGGTTGGTGAATTGGGAGTGCAAAGATATTTTTCTGAGGAGACAGCTAACCTTAACAGCTTGGGTACAAAATCAGCACAGTCCTAACAGACTTGTGCAGGGGCAGCATTTCCATTTAAAAAGAAATCTTTTAGACAGAAAAGCATAAACATCTTGTGACACACACGAACATTTCACCTATGCAATTGCTAAGGCTATGACTTGGGTATCAAAAAACAAACAAACAAAAACAAAAAAACACCATAAAAGATCCCAGCAGTGAGATTTCTGCAGCAACTATTTTGTTTTTTAAGTTCAACAATGCAATAGATGGAAGAAATGTCTTAGATAGCCCTTCACAAGTAACCCTGATTACTGGCCTACCGCGAGCTTGATGAAGTCCAGAAAATCCACCGCTGACTGATGCTTTCCCTGTGCAAAATCGGATTTTTGTATTTTGCTAATCCCCGGTTACAATCTGTGTCCTGCTCTTTGTGATCCACCCTGCAATCAGAATCCAGTCAGCCCAGATGCAACCCAGGACATTAATATAAAATCTTGACGTCGGAAAACAAGCATTTATTAGCCTAAATCTTAGGATACAGGAGGGAACAGGCTACCAGGCAGAAACTTTGGGCTTTGTCTGAAGAGTGCCCTATACCCGTGGGCTGCGGAGTACTGGGAGCTCCTGCAGGCAAAGCTGCGCGCTGGCGGGGTCCTGGAGCTGACACACTGGAGCAGGCACTGCTGGGGCTGGGTTGTTTTCTTGCTCTGAGGAGCAGGACAAGCTTGTAGGAGATGCCCCGCTACGTCCTCTGGATCTTTTTCTTGGCCATGATGAAGGCAAGAGGGGAGCTGCCATTCATTCCAGAGAACAACGCAGCCATGATGGTAAACTGGTAAGGAAAAATGTGTATTTCTTTGCTCTTTATTGGGAGATGGCATTATTTATTTGTCCTTTTTCTATAGCGGTGCCTGCCCTGACTTTGCTTACACGTGTCTCTTGGCTGTAGGAATCTGCTTTAGCAACACCTCTGTGCCTTCTGAATGGGAAAAGGGAAGGAATAAGCTCTAAAAGATGGAGGTGTTGGTTCTGTTTCGTGGTGGTTCTGTTTCACACTGCCTGAGAGAAGCTTCCCTCAGCTTTGTCTTGTGCTCAAAAAGCAAGCTGCAAGCTTGGCTGCTCTCTCTTTATTGGGCACATTGGGACATTATGAGCAGAAAGTGTTATGCACCTTGATGCTTCGGTTCCACTAACTTTGTGTGTGAATGTAGTCCTGCCTGTTTTCACAACTAAATTTCCCATGGACAGTAACGGGTTCCTAATCTAATTTACACTTCATTCTCTACAGTCCTGTCCTCACTCAGAGCTCACCATTTTCCACCAGAGATGAGATGCATCTCCAGAAGACACCTGGCTTTCCCAATGCTAACTGCACTTCTCTTGGCTGCATGGTGCCCTCCGCTCCCCCCAGATCTTGCAGTAGACGAATGCATTGTGTAACTTGTTTAAGCCTCCGTCTTGCGAGGCCCACGTGATGCCTGTTCCAGCCTCGGCTCCCCCAGGACTCCCCCCACCAATGCAGGCCCAGGGCTGCCCTTGCGTGGGAGCCTTACAAAGCAGGGGGGCAGCTCACGTGGGTGCCCAGGCCAGGATTAAGCCTTCTTTGCCTCTCTAATGCTGCCACATCTGGCGCCTCCACACTCAGCTGGGCAGGGAATGGGAATCCTCGGGGTTGGCTCTCCCCTCCTGCTGCCACGGGGTCCCCAGACACGCAGCATGGCCACGCCACCGCCACCACCTGCCCTCCATTCCCTCTCCCCCCCGCATTGGCCTCATCAGGCAAATCGTTCTAAAGCGATGATTGAAATGGATCAAGTGCGTGGGTGGTGTTTGCCTCTGGGTGGTTCCTCCCCCAGGGAAGCACTCCAGCGATAGTGCTGGCAAGACTGGGCAAAGGCAGCTGCCAACTGGCTGCATACAGCATTCCCAGTGTTCCTCATAAACAGCAGGAGCTATAGGGCTCTCCGACCTGGTGAAGGGCCTCACAGTCAGCATGCAGCCCTCTCCATTGTAACACCACTGCCAGGAATCCAGGAACCTATCCTACTCTCCCCAGCATCCTATGTTCTACAAACACATCCCCATTGTACTCGGAAATATCTTGCCCACCTGTACTGGTGCTGATGTTTTCAGTTCCCACAGTTTGTCCCATCAGGTGGTACTGGTTAAGTCGGGAACCGTCTTCAGCCACAACCACAGAGGTTGTGGTGCTGTTGGTCCACACATAGATCACTTCAGAATTGGGGTAAGCGTCTGTTGGCACAGGGGAAAAATAGACAGTGATGAGTAAAGCCCATCATGTAATGTTTTAGTGGATATTTAAATGATAGATGGTGGGGAGAGGGAAGAATGGAGGAGTGAGACTGAATGGAGAAAAACAAATAAAGATGACATAATCATGTTTCCATATGCCCAGCTCAAAAAATATTAGATTGAAGCCTTCTAATATTACAGATGCATAGGATGGTTTGTCAAAGGCTGAACCAGTAGAGGTATAAATATAATCCATCACAAACACTCCAGTAGCTCAGAGCAGCTCAGACCCATTCTCAGCTAGCTGTCTGCTCCTAAACCCCAGCAGAAGGCATTTGCTGAAGCTGTCCCTCCAAAGCACTCATGCACCTAAAGGGTCTGGACAAGGGGGAACTTTATGACAGGGCAAGCACAGGGTCTGCTGTGTGTGCTGGCTTGGGATAAGGACATACAGAGGAGGTGCTACGTCCTGTGCTTAGGGTCTGGCTATGAATGAAAAAAGCTAGGATGCATGCTTGTGTCCCTGTGTGTTTACATGCATGTCTGCAATCCAGAGAAAGTACGTAGAAGTGGGATGGCATGGAGGAGAGCAGAAGTAGATTGGTGATGGGGGGGGGGTACACCTGCATTCCTGGAAATGCAAACATGACAAGATTTCACTCACTTGGAAGTCCTTGGAAATAAAGGCAGCGTTAGGACTGCCAACTCATTCCTTCCTCAGTAGTAGTGCTGTTATTTTTAAAGACCTAACACCTGGAGTAATTATGGTGTTATGAAAGAATTTCAGCTTTCTTTCAGAAATACTGTCAACTGTTTTTTTGTTTTATTTTCCTTTTTAAGCCTTCTCCGCAGATTATGTTTCAAAAAAAAAAACAAAAACAGGACCTGAGTACATACTTATATTTAATTAAGTAGATCTGGCACTTTTCAGAGCACCATAATCACTGAAAGCTCTCGGGTAACTTTGCTGCAGACATATTACAGAAGGCTGGAGCCCACTGCATGGACCTCTCTGGAAAGCAAGGATTACTTTTTCCCAGAAGGAGTTGAAATGCAGACAGGGTTGGAAGGAGTTCAAGTCCAATACAAATATAAGCTGGGAGTGCAGAATGTTTTTTCTAGAAAAACTCATGTTCAACACAACCTGTGTAGGAGACAACACACAGTGGCTTTTCAGATAAGAACCTGAAAGGCATGGGCAAGTGACTATTTAAAAGGGTCTTGTGTACTAAGTCCCATCTCCAGCACTGTGAGTTTTGGTTGCTGGAGTCAGTAAGCTGTCATAGAAAGCTGTGACTCCCTTAAGGTCTAAAAAATTTTCCCAGAGAGCAGTTTAACATAAGCTACTGATGCACTGTAATGGGAATAAAAACATGCTAAGGCAGTCCCTGGATTCATACAATCTTCCAGTACTTAACTCCAGAGCTTATAAACAGGAGGGAAATCAACTTTGTACATGGTCTGATAGTGATAGGACAAGGGGGAACAGTTTTAAACTAGAAGAGCGAAGATTTAGATTAGATGTTTGGGAGATGTTGCCCTCCATTGAGAGGGCAGTGAGGCCCCAGCACAGGCTGCCCAGAGAGGCTGTAGATGTACCATCCACGGAAACATTCAAGTCCAGGTTGGATGGGGCCCTGCACTGCCTGATCTGGTGGTGGCAGCCCTGCCCACGGCAAGGAGTTGATCTCCCTAGATGATCTCTGAGGTCCCTTCCAATCCAAGTCACTCTCTGATGCTATGAACATGAAATAGAAAACAGGAAGTGATCCTGAATCAAGCTAAGAGCATTCGCAGCATGATGAGCTGCAGATCACTTGGATACTGGAGTAGGTAGCAAGGAGGAAAGCATTTTTTCCATGTGGTAATTTTTTTCCATTTGGTAATCTTCCCTAGCAATCTTTAGGAAGTGCTAGCAGAGGAAGGACACTAGTCTGGATACATCTTTGGTCTGACCTTTCACACCTAACCTCAAGTTCTCATCCACACCTCCAAAAGATATGGAAATAATAAGGACATCAAAAAAAAAAAAAAGAGTTCAAAAGAGGGTTACAAGTATCTCCAGGGCCTGGGAACAAGTCTTAAGATTTGAAGCTTAAGGAGCTCAACTTATTTAGCTCACTGACAAGAGGCTGAGATGTGATTCAATCGCCAAGTATAGATTCTTGTACACATAAAAGAAACCAAGAACAGGGAAAACTCATACTACTGACAAAAGGAAAAGAAAAATTCAGGCATTGAAAGAATAGGACACAGTTTCCTGGTGGGGGAGGGATGGGGGATTTAAACAGTGGATAACCTTCCAAGATTATAGATTACTGTCACTAGAAATATAAAGATGGGATGAGATCTTTTTCATCGTATCTCTGACAGTAGCTTGTTGCTGCTGTGTTCGTGACTGGAGTTGATCCAACCTTTGGTAGCTGAACATCTATGAATACTCCATCCTTATTAGCCATGCAGCCATGCAGGACTGCCCACACGCCTTTCATGTACTTGTATTTGTAGCTGTGCAGTAAAATTACTGTAATTATATCTCATGATCTGCTTTGAAAGGCTACAAAGGAATTTCCTCCCTACTGCAAAATATTTGCATAACAAGAAGTGATGGAATTTCACCTTTCCCTTAAGAGATGAGATACCCTCCCCATCTGAGAGATGATTACAAGTTCATAGCATTCTGTAAATAATTCCAAAGGTTGCTTTGGAGATGTACAAGTGGATGGGTCACTTCAAGAAACTGCTGCAGAATACTTTATTTTTAAGTGCTTATCTGGTATATGTTGGTCATATGTTGATAGCCCCTGTGAACGTTGGATTTGTGTAGACAGACAGGGATTCCCAGAGAATTTTATTTTTACTATATCACTTCCCATGCAAAAAAGGATGCTGGACTTTTTGCTGGTATCATCCATATGTATCTCACATCAGGAATTCACCGCTACTGTGTCTCAGGGAAAATTTGTCCAGTTTTCTGCCAATGACACACAAGCTCAATGAGACACTTCCTGGTGAAAGCCCTGTAACCAAATTCCATCGAAAGTAAGACCACGTTGCTTGTGAGGCTTAAAAAGTATTCAGATGCTTTATTTCTTAGCTCTGCCTATCTTTGACTGTCCTAAAACAGCGTCTCTGCTTCAACCTGCAGCCTTTACTGGGTGCTACATATGTCTGAGTGCAGGTCTGGAGGCTTCTGCCCTGGAGCAGCTCAGCTCTTCCTCCTTTAAAAATATATATATATATATCTGTAATTCAGAAGCCAGGAGGCACCCAAATGCATGCAGACAGTCCTGACCCCATGCACAATGCTCTGTGAGGCTGCCTTCTTCTGAAATCACAGCAGGAAAGGGAAGCTGTCTATAGATAATCTGTTAGACAAGATCATATACATGACCTCTCCATCTATCTTCTTTGCAACTGTAAAGAAAACAAAGTCTGTGTTTTAAAAGGCTGTAGTATAGGATTTTTGGCTTAACGCCTCCTTTCCTCATTCTGGGCCAGGCTATGAGAATCTGAGCTTCCTTGTGAGAAGAAGAATTGAGAAAATGCCAAAAGAAGAATGTGAATGTAAAAAGATGCAGCCACCCCCTCAGCCCATAAGTACCCTTGTGAGAAACTTATAGATTTGACAGGAATAGGCTACCCTAAATCCTTTGGTATGGCAGCTGAACCTTGATCATATCTTTTCGGATCATCTATATAAATCTTTGGGTACCTGTGTCCTTGTACTAGGTATGTGTCTTCCTACCTCAAACCTTCTGCCACATTTTCCCCTCAAACTCTAGTTATCCTAAACTTGCCTACCAGAAGCTCCAGCTCTGCTTCTGGTAACCCATGCAGTATAATTAGGCACAGTCGTACTGAAAGCTGAATGTGTGGGAGTAGTCTCGAATAATGTCATTTTGCTTTTGGGATAGAGCTGTTGCTAATGGAGAGATGGCATTATTCACTGTCATACCAAATTGTGTAAAAACCTCCCCCTGTTTAAGTAAAGCTCTGGTAGGTTTTCAATCTCTAAAGCATGACAAATCTCAGCTCCTGATTTCTAGGGTTACAAGAAAGGTTTACTGCTGAGCAGGGAATAAGGTCCTCACCACCTTTACATAGTGGACACAAGGAAACAAGGAGACACCCAGACAGTAACAGAAAAGTGTGGTAAATGCTTTGGGTTAGAAAACTGGAAGAACACTGCTGGTGTTGTTGTAAAAGCAAACCCAAGTTCAAAGCCACTGAAAATACAAGTGAGGCTGTTTAACTTTCATTCTAATTTAAGCAAGTGTGCTTCTTCTGTTATTATAAATCCAATTATTAATTTGGCGTTCCTTACCATTATTTTGCTGGCTTGCCAAATAAAGTCAGATGCCTCATTCAATTTTTCTTTCTTGCCTAAGCTCACTCTTTCAAAAGACAAAAATGAACCAGTTTAGATGAACAACTGAAAATATACTGAGGTGTGATATAATTAGAAGCAAGAAAATGGCAGGAGACATTTATTTCTAGTGGGCATTTGATAAATGGCTGCAGACTTATCACCTAACAGAAAGATGAAATGAAGTCATTTCTTCTCATATCTGTTTACTCACGAGTGGATCTATTTTTCTCCACTCTAATGCCCAACAGAAATATAAGACCCATAAAGCCCTACTTTCCTGTACTCTCACACACTCTGCTATCTTCCTACTCTCACATGTCTGGCAAGGCAAACAGCAATTGGTCCTTCTTACACCTGTGAACAGAGGGCAGGTGAGCAACCACAACCAAAGGGAGGAACCAGCCTAACAAAGCAAAGCAGCCAGTTGGGAAGAACTAGAAGAATCCTGCCATTTGTCTTGGCAATGCAGGCTGCCTTGTTTTCACTTGGATTAATTATATATGAACTGGAAAAGCCACTTTGGGACAACTACTCATGTTGATTCATTGTTTCCTTTCAAGGTCTTTCTGCTACAGTTTTGGTAAAACACTACAGAAAGGATTCTAAGAGGACAAAAAGGAAATGTTCA